AATTAACTTGTGATTGAAAAATGTGCATGCAGTGAATCTGATTTTCAAGAAGAAATTGCAAGGGTTGTGTTTGAAAAACTCTATCCAACGGAAGAGATTGGAACCCAATCGTCGATACTGGAGATAGAAAACTTGCTGTGCAAGCAACCATGGGGCGTTCGCACCATAGGCATTTTTGGTGAGCGTGGCATTGGCAAGACGACCCTGACCAAAGCCGTCTTTCGCCGAATGTCTGGTGGCTATGATGATTGTTGCTTCATCAATGATTTTCAGACAGAATATAATGAGAAGAGACTTGAGTATTTGCCTGCTAATTACTTGAGTAAGACTCCAATGGAAAAGTTTCACCTAAATAGTTCTGATTCAGAGCCAAGCCACCGCAAGAAAAGGGTTCTTGTTGCTCTGGACGATGTGCAAAAAGCTCAAGATGCAAAGTCATTTCTTGGAGGATTTGATAAGTTTGGTCCAGGGAGCTTGATCATCATAACCTCCAAAGATAAAAGAACTCTCCAGGAGTGCAAGATGAATGAGATTTATGAGCTAAAAGGTCTAAATGATGAAGATGCTCTGAAGCTATTTACAAGGTGTGCCTTTGGAAAAGATGTTATAGAAGAAAATCTTCTAGACGATTCGATGAAAGCGATTGAATGTTGTGAAGGGAATCCGTCTGCTCTTCGCTCATGTGCAAAGGTGTTCAAGGCAACCGTAGAGAAGGAACCGGTGTTGCCTGATGTTTGTGAAGTATTCATTACCGGCCAGGGCGTATCTTGTGACACTGCGAAGAACACGTATATGCAATTTATCCCCTATGAAGAAGACGATGAGCCGCAAGAAAATAAGGAGTTCCCATCAGATCATATTGCTGTTTTGGTATGTCACAATACACTTTCTTATACATTTATAATATTTAGATTTTGAGGTTACCAGCGTGTTTTGAATCTTGATCATCTCTTGTCTTTCTCTTCTGTGTTTTTTTTCAGGTCACTAGAGATACCAAAAAAATAATTCTAAGCCCATCCCACTTGTGTGCTGAAAGCGAATTTCATTCTTATTCCGAGAAGAACCCGAGATTCGCCTTTTACAACCGAATCTCCAAGTCTCTAACTAGTAATCTAATGTTGTACCGATTGGATTATAATGCTGTGATGAGATCATTCTTGGAACACTTACTTCAAAAGCACCATGTTATAGTACAAGGATTAGGTACTCAACTTCCAAAATTTTGGCAAAGCTTGTACTCGCGGTGACCTAGATCAGCTAGAGCTTCATCTCCAACGCCTCCTTAATCTTTCTGGTGGTTGCAATTGGATCAAAAATTTTATAGATTTTGTACGGAAGATTAGAGAATGGAATCTTGACGGCAGATATGGCATAAGAGAAAAAAGATCTAGAACTACTGAGTCATTGAAGTTTACTTTGAAATAGATCAAGCTAATGACTTGGGTCAATATTTATCGAATTAAGACTCAAGTTGTGGGTAAAACTTGAAAAGGCATGCATGCGCATATAATCCAATGTTCATAAATCATTGTAAATATTTTGGAGTATTTATGTATCAATAAGTTACATACAGATGCTAAATAATTTGTTTAATATATATCAAAAAGAAGAAACAAAATCATTGTAAAATAATGTTGATTGTAATATATCAGTTTTAAGTTGTATAAATATGTAAAATCATTTATGCTTAATATCTAGATATTGTTTTATAAACACAACAATAAATTATGAAATGGAATATTTGTAAATTATTAAGTATATGTTCTAATATTTTTTAAGCTTACGCCTATAAATAAATAGAAATTTGCAAAAATAATAGCATTAGGGAGTCAGAACTAAGAATCTAGCAATATCTCTTAACTCAATAGCAATAATAATGAGATTCCAATAAAAAAAATAAAATATATATATATATATGATCCAATTTCATATTAAGAATCTTGTAAAAAAATTTACAATAGTTGGTTGTAATTTATACTCCCTTCGTTTTATGAAAATTGATGTTTTTAGTTTTTTTTTGTTCCATAAATATTGATGTTTTAGATTATTAAATAATATTTTCTGCAAACATAAAAAAACATTAATAAAAAGTATTTAAATTCTAAATTACGATTGGTTAATATATATTAAAAAAATAATAACTTACAACTAATTATGTTTTTAATTTGTGTGAAAAAACCAAAATATTAATTTCCATAGAAATAGAAGGAGTATATACACGTGGCAAGTTGAGTGTTGTTATTTAACAAATCGTTAGTAAGCGAAAAATCAGACAAAAATGGGGACACGTGGTGCGTTTTCTATGGAGTGTGTAGGTCACTTGCTCTGAAAGCGCGTGTACCGCGCGTTCATTAATCTCAGCGACATAACTTATTTAATTGGTTCACATTTCTTATCATG